GGGTCTGTATTGAAAAATCAATTCGAGGGGGGGGGGTGGGGGGGGTTGAATTGAATGATCAATTATTAGACCCGGACTCGCCGACACTTGCTTCGCAAGTCAAACTCAAGGTATCCCCTAAAGGGCTACCTTTCGTGACATCCGGCGATATCCGTAGATTGCTCTTTGCTCAGACTCAATACCTTCGTTATCGAGTCCCAACACACACACACAGAAAACTTCGGAGACGCCGCAGCCCTTTTCACGGAGGCCACACGGGCATCTGAGTCCATACGCTTTCTCAAAGTGGGCGCAGCCTGTGCGTGGGTCATGAAGGAAGAGTATGTCAATATGTCAACACAACTGACACAAGTGAAAACCTACAAGGCTGCGTACTTTTGGGAAAACATGGCTGGGCTGCAGTTATAACGAGTTGCCATGGCTTTGCGTTCGTCGACAAAAATTCAAGAGCGGCCCCGCTTGCGGCACCCAAGTCGTAGCGTTTGTAGAATTTTGCTGCGATGCACAAGCCTATGGCCCGAAAGCGTTGGTATCCAAAGGAGATGCGCCGCCATAAATCAACCAATACTACTTTTAATTTGGGCAATTTCCGGCGGCTTTGTGGGCTCGGATCAACTAGGAGGGATTTATTAATCCTAACTTTACATTATTGCTTTTGCGACTGTCTGGTATTTCTGTGCACTTTGTTCATATCTACCATGCCTTTGTCTAACCAGTTCCGAAGCCAAAAATTAATCAAGCACTTAGGGATTTTTGGATGTTGTTTCCTAAAACTGTGGGGGTATCAAAAAATGTCAGGAATTTGAAGAGAACTCCAAACGCTATCTAAGCGTTACATGCCTTACGGTTCCAGCACAGTTTCCCCTCACCCATTCAACGGCCTTCTAATGGTGCTGATGTACCGCCTTTTGTCCAGCATCCTAGGCCGTGTCAATCTGCACAGCTTTAACAGTTGCGACACCCAACCACCCGACCTCAACCTAATGAAATGTGGCTGAAGTGCTGACTGCAATATGATCAACTTCTTTGGCACCGGGCCAGCCCAGATTTCTTCCAGCCGTCGCTGTTCCGCGCAACATCTGTATCAGTTTCATCCTGAAGCCAAGCCAGGTCAAAGTGTTACTTTGAACTGTCTTCATAATATCGGAAAGCCTCAAAGCCCAAAGCATGTTGGTATTCTTGATCAATAACATCATGCCCTAACAACCTAAAATAAGCAATTTAGTAATACTGTATATATTATATACACAGATAGATATTCCTGGAGTGTTCTGGGCAAAGAACTCTTTGCCATTGGATCTACAAGCGCTTGCTGCGGCTGCCAGCTGAGCCTCAGCATCCCAAGACATCTTGAAGCTTCTGCACAGTGCTGAGTGGCTAAGCCCTGCACGTTCCGCAACGGGACATTTTGCCTAAGCGCACAAAGAGAACAGAACACACAAAACCAAACTCAACATGGTGACAAATCTTCGCTTCTACCGACCTCAGCATCTCGTGAGAATAGGCTAATGCCATTTCCCACTTGGCACCGATGCCTTAGCAGGATGTGATGCAGAATCTGACAGCACCATGTGTGAAACACCGAGCTCTACACTGCAGGCATTCAGCGCTACAGTATAAGCTAGTTCATCTGGCCTCAAACCGCAAATATCTGTCTGGATCATCTTGTACTGCCCAAGGTGCAAAATTCTGTGCTGCGACCCACTGAGCCCAGCATCATTCTAGCAATCGAGTTCCTGCCCTCAAATGTAAAACACACAAATAATATCTATCTATAAGTATGTATAACTTATCTCAAGTTGAGATAAGGTTCTCAACAGTGATAAAAAAAAATACTGGCAACCTATAGGACCATCATCCACCAATAAAATGGCTTGGAGTCCGGCTTCAACTGGGCTTGCCGCATCTGCAGAAACACTCGCAGGGCGCTCGCCTGGACAAGAGAAAGTACGCATGGCTCTCCCTCTCTCTCTCTCTCTCTCTGTTAGCTTGGAGGCCATCGCTACTAGGATGGAGGCCATCGCTCTTAGGTTGGAGGCCATCGCTGTTAGGTTGGAGGCCATCGCTACTAGGTTGGAGGTCATCGCTCTTAGGTTGGAGGCCATCGCTCTTAGGTTGGAGGCCATAGGTATTAGATGGGAATAGGTTGGAGGCCATAGGTATTGGCGGGTTGGAGGCCAACGCTATTAGGTTGGAGGCCATCGCTTCTGGGTTGGAGGCCATTGCTATTGGGTTGGAGGCCATTGCTTCTAAGTTGGAGGCCATCGCTATTAGGTTGGAGGCCATCGCTATTAGGTTGG